AGTGTGGACAGGGGTCTGTCTGGGAGGACTTGGAGAGTTAAGTTGCTTTCCTCCCGGCGCAGCCCCGAAGATAGAGTTTACAGTCTATTTATACAGTCTGCTGGTCTTTGCAGAATGAATAATAGTACAGTAACACTTCATAATAGTAAAGTTTCCATGTCTGCTTCAGTTCATCTAAGCTTTAGTTTTGGCAGATAATTGATTTTGTTCTTTGACTGTGACTTACTAGATTGAAAAACAGCAGAAGCATAAAGCCTCAACAGGACCCATAGGTTGTCTAAACAAATATTCTGCCTCTTCTGGCCAAGAAATTGAAAACAGTGAATGCAGGAAAAATAAGCATAGACTTGGACTACCAAGCTTAAGAATGTATGGTTTTATTTTTGCTTCGGGTGTATACCACTGGGTCTCTTAAGAAAACTTGGCGATGGTAAGAGATGGATGACTTATCTGGAAAATTTGGTCGGCATAAATAATGTACTGCTCTGCTTACAGTACTTGGTTGCAGAAATGGTCTTAAAAACATAATCTAAACAGACAATCTGAGGACATGTTTAACTTTCGAAGTACTTTAATTTACAGTGTAAGTTCTGGAGCAGTTATGAAGATGTTTAAAGATTCCTGGTCTGTTACCCACCAGAGTAGTGCTAACTAAGGTACAACCTCTGAAAATGTGCAATAGTAAGCCTCACGTAACTCTTTAGATAAACTTTATTTAGTCAGAACAACGTGTTTCAGAAACTCAAATCTGTACTTTGATGTCATTGGGTTTGTTTCTGTGATGTTGAACTGTCAGGGTATCGTTGGCTGTAATGCACCAGGGTACTGGGCTTCAATGAAATGCGTTTTTAATCCCTAGGTCAGATGTATCAGCAGTACCAGCAGCCTGGTTACCCTGCTCAGCAGCCGCAGGCCCAGCCCCAGCAGCAGTACGGCGTGCAGTACCCAGGTAAGCAGCTCTGCAACAGCAGCTCAGCTGCAGGACCTCTCCTGCAGTGCCCGACCCTGTCAGCTTCAGTTCCTGACCCTGTGGGGCAGGTCAGGGTGCTGAGCTGCCCAGATGCCTGTGTTCCTTTTTGGGAACTGGCACAATTCAGAAATTGCCAGGAAGAGAACACTGTAGCTGTTTATGTTGTTAATATGTAGTCAAAGTTCAGCCCTACTTGATTGTGACCAAAGGCAGATGTCATTACTAGTCAGCAGAATGCCTTGTTAGAAAGGCAGGCAAAATGAATCACCTGAAGGGTGAGCAGCCTTCAGGATTATACTCCGCAGTCATGGTATTCTAGCAAGTAAGTGACTAAACATCCCAATTTAGCTTCCTTAAATATCAAAGGTGTCTAAAGATGGCCCCTATTTCTTGTGTCTAGAATGATCTCCATGTCCAAAATTTACTGATCTAAACACTGTAGCTGTCAGTCAGTAAATCCTTGGAAATTACACATACTGTAAATCCCAGAGAAACTTTCAAGTGATAGTTTTTCTTTTTTAGTTTTTGATTTTGCTGATAGCTTAAGTAAAGGTGCCAGTAGACTTTCAGCAGAAGAATATTTTAGTGCCCTAGTGGTTTATGTGCCATGAAATATGAAAAGCTAGCTTTGGTGTATACCCAAAATAAACTTGATCTCAGAACTTCCAGTTTCTTTGGAAGCATCTGGCATCTAGGAATGCATAGTATATGCTAGGAATGATAATCCAGATGAGGTTTAGGGATGAACCTGTAAGAATAGATTCTGTAACAAATTGCATTTTGCTTAATAATTTCAGAAGATGATACAAAGCATTCATCATTCCTTGTTTTAAAAAATCCTCCTTAAGCTAAACAAAAGACTACCATTAAGTGGCTCATTAAGTAGATCCAGTGTAACCTTTTCTTGGTGCACAGTGGGAGTGCATCAGTTTTTATATTGATGAGGAGATTTGCAGAGCTCACAAAGAAATTCCATGCTTAGCTTGGAAAAGAACCCTAGAATACTTGGACTAAAGGTTTGTGCCTCAGACCTTGTTCCTGTGCACTGTGTGAGAGCTTGTTGGTTTGAACATTGATATGGTGGCTTGTTCTCTGCAGGTTTCTACCCCCTACATTTGTAACTAGATTACAGAGGCAGATGTACTGAGGTATAATTTCAGAAGTAGCAAGCCTGTTGGAAGTAGAAGGGTCTGTCTGACTCTCTAGACTTAAAAACTGAGTGGGAAAACAAAGGAATTTCACTCTACTTTCTAGACATAGCCTACCATCGTCTAATCAATTATTTTACTGGTGTTCCTGTGAAAGCTGAAGTGCAATGTGAGTTTTGCTTTCCAATTAACATCATTGTCAAGTATGAGTGAAATGGCACCAGAAACTTACGGGGGCACCTCTGTTTGTCATAACTTAGTTCACAATTAATCTTCAGAAAAAGAGGTTTTTTTGAGGACCTATTGCCTTTGGAGATGTTGGGTCATAGGATCTTTTTGTTTGTGTTGCTTTAGTTCTTATGAGTATTGTCTCCTTTCAAACCCATGTCTCCCTGAGAGCAGGATCCCTTCCCACTCTTGTAGATCTACTACTAGGCAACAGTGGCTATTTATACAAGGGTGTAAAAAAGGACCCTTCAGAAGTTTGTCTCATGAGTAAATTTTGATCCCAGTTTCAAGGTGAGTTTCTTGCAGTGCATTCTTACCCTTACTCTTTCCATTTAGGGCTGTGCACTTTTAATAATTTGTGTGTCTGGTGTTTAATGCTGACAGGATTCCAGTCACTGGAGAGGTTTCATTGCAAGTAGCTGCAGGTGTGTTTCATGATGGATAAAAGTAGCTATTTCTTCATGAAAGGACTTTGTTCCATTTTAAAATTTTCGAGAAGAGAAATTCCCTTTGGAAGAAGTTTCATACAGAAACATCAAATTTTTGGGGCATATGTAAATGGAAGTTTTGTGCTAAAGGGTTCTGTTCTACACAGCCTTTTCATATTTAATGCTAAAGAACTGAAAACACCTATGATTTAACCAAAGGCATGACTTATATTAAACCCTGAGAGTATTGTCAAGCAGTTTAATTTGGAGGTTTTATTTGGGAAAAGGGTTGAATTTTGCCTCATTTGCCAATGAAGATTTTTTCTGTGTGTGTGATATTAAGGAAAAGACTACTTGTCTTTTTTTAATTTATTTCTTGTCAGTCACAGGAAAACTGTTTTTTAGTAACTGTTGTCAGTGTGCTGTGCTGCCACGGTGTGCACCAAAACCCTGGCCGTGCGCTTGTGTGAAAGGCAGGAAAACTCGCAGTTCACGCTTGGTTTGCCTTTTCTGTGCTTCCTGCATCGTTTTGCGTTTGTCACTGTGACCATTAGGAACAAAAGGTCTTTCTGCAGGCACCCACTGTTCTTTAGCGTCTCTTACCCTACCTTGCTCTCTGCCTTTCCAGCAGGCTACAGCCAGCAGCAGCCCCCGTCGCAGCAAGCCCAGCAGTTCCCGGCCTACAGCCAGGCGGCTGCCCCGGCCCCGGCCGCCGCCTTCCCGGGGCAGGCGCAGCAGCTGCCGGCGCAGCAGCCGCCGCAGTACCCGGCGGGCAGC